AAGAGAAAAGACAACGTAAATGAAACAAGTAAACATAACACTCACTTCAATTCTAGACATGCCATCTCCCAAGAATGCGCAGGCATTCTTCACATGGGCAATGTAGTATGTATCACATAACCCGCATCGGCTGCTCAGAGACCAGATAAACGAATAAATGAATAGTAACAAATAGAAATAGGGCCATGAATTTGCATTTTTTAAGTTCTCAAAAATTGGGAAAACTCTCATAATCAAAAGATAAATTGGAGAGAATCCAAAGAACTCTCAAAAATTGGTGATGACCTGCAGTGATCCTTGGCCGGGTAGGTTCCACCGGGAGGGATGGGTCGGGACTTTTGTCTCCACTCATCTCTGGGTTTCACAGACTTTGAGTTAATCCCATCTGCATAATAATTATATTGTAGATATAAAAATTTAGTCTTGAAAACATAAAACAGAAAGATGCTCAAGAAAAGAAGTTGGGTACCAGAAGAGGATGAGGAGACAATAGGGAGACAGAAATGATTGGAGTAAAGTAATCCGGTGGCTATTCCAGTGGCCATAGCCATGGAGAGGGGGAGAGAGAAGTGGGTGGATGGATGATTAGTCGTGTGCCACATATCTTATGTAGTTCGCCTATACAAATAGGGGGCGTTTGGTTGCTTGATATAGGTTGATACTAGTGTGCATCCCGTGCGATGCACGGACGGGCTTATTACTTAAAACTATTTTAAAACTTTATTTTAAACATAATTATTTACATTTAACATCTCATTATTGCAACAAAATAAATTCAAAAATATAGAAAATTATATATTATTTATTTGAATATAATGAGGGTCTCCAACAAAGCCAATAACATCCAACACATGATATATGATAAAAATAATTACATGAATCGTCATGCTTCTATAAATATATATATATATATATATATATATATAGTAAATATGAGATATTTAAGATTCGCATTAACATTTGTAATTTGAGTATGAGATGAAAAATGATGTGTACAAAAAATAGGTACCAAGAATCCACATAATATAAGATTCTTTGTAAACTTTAAAAGATTTTGTAGTTAGATAAATATGGACAAAAAAATCATCAATTAGGTTGAACAATTTGAAGTACTAAAAGTTAATTTCTGAAAATAACATTCTTTATTAAATAAATATGAGATTTGTAGATAGATAAACATGGATAAAAAAAAATATTTAACAATTAAGTTGGCATGACTTTTTGGAAAGATTTAAAAAAATTTCAAATCTTTTATTCGTTAAATGAGTGACTGGATTTTTGTAACCTAATTCACACGTTAGACTGCAAAATTTAAGAAAACGATTGATCGATTTTTTTTGGAGCAAGAATTTCAATATTCTTTCTTATTATGTGTCAGATTTACTCATTTAAGGAAATAATTGCCCATAATTTTTAAGAATTAAGGTTTACACAATATCTTTCTCAATTTTTTTTTTAAATTTGAATTCTAATTTTCATTCAGCCGCCATTTAAAAAAATCCTAAAAATATTAACTTTGAAAATTTTAGACGGGAATTTTAATAATATTTCAGGTAAATCACTTTTCATATGATATAATTATAGCTTATCCAGGTATATATTTAAATAAAAGTGATCATCAAGATTTTATAATTTTGTTGTTTTTGGTCAGTTGGTGATTTTGTTACTATCAAATCAACCTGATTTTGTTGACATTTAAGCCATGTGGATGATTAAGTCTTTTGGTTAGTATGATAAATTTTATAATACTTGATAACTACAATATTTGGTAAAAATTACTGTAAGCTTAACATTAATTTGCATTCAAATATAGATTGACTATACGAAGTGGAATAATTATTTTGTGCATAATATCAATAAATCAAATTTGAAATGAAAAAAAAATATATCTATGAGAATAATAGTGGAATATGCTATAATCATTTCATGAAATTAGTCAAAATTAGAGAATTACAAATTTTACGTTATTTTAAAATAAAGCTATGAATTTACTTCACATTATAGAATTTCAATTTTTTTACGTTATTTTAAATAAAGCCATTATATTATATTGTAAGTACGATTAATAAACCTTACACAATTTTAGCGTTAGATTAAAAAATAGTGAATTTTTCTTACAAAATTCTACCAAGTTTAATTCAGGGCGCATATTATAAGCTATACAAAGATCAATTTATAGATAGATTTTAAAATATAAAAATAATAAAAGTTTATCACACATATCTTTAATTCCCATAAAAATTAGCCGTCCAACATCAAATTTCACTAATCCTAAAGTGATAGAGACAATATATTAGCTAAAAAACAATGCTATTTTCGTATGGAGAATATTTTTTGTTGGAAAAAAAAAATATTATTTGCAAAATTTTATGGATAAAAATTACTTATTTATCAGGATAAACATTATTATTTATCACATGCTTATTTTAGCTAACCATATTATATGAAGAAAATATAATATATGCTTATGATATTCAAATTTCAAAATTCAAATTATTTTTAAAATTTTCATATATAGTAAATAAATTCTAGTATTCTTTTAAAATACATGAATGTTATATATTATAGTATTTAGTACTGTGGGGAGGATTTTTATTTATTTATTATTTCTGGTAAATAATTTGAAATATGAGGTATTTGCACATATCCTTGAAACCAACATATTTTATATTAAATCAAGTGGAACGTCTGCATTTCATGACTTATTTATAGGAAGTTTAAGTTATTTCTTAGATTCTTTATTTTTTTAAATGATATTTTGATGTGGGATTGAATCTACGATTATCATCAAATTTAGAATAACTTAATCGGTATCCTTTTCCTATTTTTTTCTCACAATTTTGAATTTGAGATTTTAAATAAGGAAATGTGTTTTTATATTTTTTGGAAGTTAGAATCTGTTGGATTCTTTTATCTATACCTAATTGCACACATTTTTAAAATTTATAGCTATTATGGAAAAATAGTTTTACTTTAAAAATAATAAAAAAAAAGTCTGGATTTGAAAGCTAATATTTTCACTTATAAAAAAATTAAAAATAATATTTTCAAAAGGCTGGATTTGAAAGCTATTTTTAATCATGTGTGTAAAATATCCAGACTTCAATTATCCAATCAATTGATTAATTCATGTTGTAGATAACCGAAAAAAATTGAAAGCTAATCATGTTGTAGATACTATTGAGATTTTGTCTACATATTAATAAAATAAAATAAAAAATAGAATGTTTTTTTGAATTCTAATGTGAACACGTATTGAAGCATGTTTTTTATATTTAATTTTATTTACGAAATAATTTTGAATTGTAATTTGAAAGCTTTATGAAACTCTGAATAAATTTATACATTCCTTTTAAAACATAGTTATTCCAACGAAATTTAGTAGTAAAATAAATATTATGAATATTACATGATATTTATTATTTATGTAGGAATGTAATTTTTTTAAAAATTAAAAAAAGGTGAAAAAGAATAAATTTACATTTTAAGAAAAAAATATTTAATATATAAGTATATATTATTAAAAAAAAAAAGACGGCGAGTGATGGATTTTGGCCAATATATGTTACCACAAGATTTTCAAATTATTTGTACACGTTTTTATCCTTATTTTTTTTTAATTAAGAAATAGTCTTTCCATATTTTAAGGAAGTTAAAATCTTTTAGATTCTGTTATCTATAACTAACCCACAATATCCGATCCGATTGGATTGGTTACCAAATTGCATGGGCGGGACATGCGAAAATATTCAAAAAAAATTGCCGAAAATGGTAAAAAACGAAAAACATAAGCGGGAAAATGACTTTAAAAAAGCGGGAAAACGAATTATTTTTTTTGGAATTGTTTGAATAATTTTTCTTAACTGTATTATATAGTTATAGATATATTCGCTCCAAATCGATTTTTTTGTTAAGTAGTGTTAATTTTGAAATTGGTTAGTTTATAGTGAATCTTGAGTTTATATAAAATAATATTTATAATAAAATATTACAATTTATTTGATATAAAAATAGGACAGAGAAATGATATGAAGTGGTAGTTAGTTATAGTTAAAATTATATAAGTGGATTAATCTATTTATCTATTTATATATAAAGAGACAATGATTTACTTGAAATAACAATTAAAAATCAGCCAAAAAAAAAATATACTTAGTTTCTCTCCTAAAGTATTTACTATAGTGAATAATATTTTTGGCCAAAATTTAAAAAATTCCTTTTTGAAAATTAACAGAGATTGTGTTTCACGTTTCCTGATCGCCTTAAATCGAGTAGTTTTTATCCATGGAAAAGGTATCTATATATATATATATATATATATATATATTTATATATATATATAATAAGAATTAACATTTACCATAAATAGTAGTAAGGAAAAGTCAACCACATTTATTATATACTATTTTTAGCAACTTTTACATTTTACATTTTAATTTTAATTCATTATCAAAAAATTGGATGGTTCCTAAATTAATAGGTTTTAAATGCATGTATCATGTTTCAAAAATTATAAATCATTTAAAATCGGAGGGTTCCTAAATTAATGGTTACAAACTTTTCAAAGTTGTAATCTTTATGGCATCTTTTCTTTTTTACTTTTAGTAATAAAATTATTTTAAATATATATATTCTAATCCAAAAATTCAATCATGTTAAATATATATATATATATATTGAACGCTAAAAATATTTTTTAAATTACATACCCAATCAATTAATCTTAATTTTTTTAAAATTACTATGTTTATTTTTTATTAATATGCATAAAATAAAAATAAATAGTTCATCTTTAGATATATAATTTATAATCTTAATATACTATCATTTGGTGTAGACATATGAATCATAAAATATTTTTATTTCATAAAATTAAATATTATATTTAAAGAAAATAAGGAAATTACTTTGGATCAATCTGGTGATTGAATTAGGGTACTGCCCACTTTGATTGAATTACTTTTAGATAATATTTAAAATATTCAAAAAAACTTGACACAACTTGGTTGGTCCGAGATAACTAAGTTATGTATCAGTTTGACCAGACCAAATTGATTATTAAACCTAAATATAAATTCTAATATTGAAAATACTTTATTACGTGAATGTGATCTAGTGCAAACTTCAAATAATCATATTAACAATACTTTTAAGACAACATGAATAATGATTTATGAATATTTATATATCATTTTATTATTATTTATGTGAACAAAATATTTATTTCATTATCATTTTTATTAATGTACGGTAAATATAAGGTTTTCAGAATCGGACCGTCTTGTGGTTGTTCAGATTTTAATACATAATACTTTAATATATATATATATATAGTACATTTTGTAATAAATTTAAATAAAAAGTGTTACTTAAATATCTAAACAATTTATAAATTCAAATATTTAAACTAATTGACAAACAATTTATAAATCTCTATTTTATTTAAATATGTAATTTTATTTAAAATAATTTTTCATGTAACAAAATTTGTTTAGAAAATCGTATTAATCTTACCAGTCCAACATACTGGTGTTGGCGGATTCGATAGTAAATATTTTATTCAAGCGCACTAAATCGGTTATAAACCGGTTCTCGGTCCATCCAGT